TTCTTCCCTCCTTTTCTCTCTCCCTCCCTCCCTCCTTCCTTCCTTCCTCCTTTCACTTCTTGAAGAATTTGTATAAGATTGGACTGATCTGTTCCTTGAAAGCTGGATATAACTTAACTGTAAAGCTATCTAAGATTGGTACCATTCCAATGTTTAAAAGTTTTTTTTTTAATGTTTTATTTATGTCTGAGAGAGAGAGAGAGAGAGAGAGCGAGAGCGAGCATGAGCAGGGGAGGGTCAGAGAGAGAGGGTGACACAGAATCTGAAATAGGCTCCAGGCTCTGAGCTGGCTGTCAGCACAGAGCCTGACGCGGGGCTTGAACCCACAAACCGTGAGATCATGACCTGAGCTGAAGTCGGACGCTCAACTGACTGAGCCACCCAGGTGCCCCACCATTCCAATGTTTTATTTGTGAGTCAAATTTGGTATATTTTTAGGAATGTGTCAATTTTTGTGTAAATGTTCGAATTCATAGTTCTATCTCCAGTTATGTGCCCTTTTCTGAATCCTAACATAGTTTCTTGTGCCTTCTTTCTCTTTTCCCTTAATTAGAATCACCAGAGGATTCTCTGTTTATCAGTTTTTTCAAAGAGCCAACTTTTGAATTGTTGATTACTTCCATTGCTCTTTTCAACTAAGGCAATAAAGAGAATGCTTTAAGTATGTGAGATTTGGAGTCAGACTGCTTAAACTTGAATCTCTGCTCTATCTCTTAATTAAGAAACCTTGGGAAAGTTAATCTGGACAAGAAACTATGCTTTAGTTTCTTCATCTAAATACATGAGAATTATTAAGATAACATGTGGAAACTATTTAGAACAGAAAGTATTTGGACAGTGTTTAATAAAATGTTGCTACTATTATGATCCATAAACAGAAGTTAGAGTAGGTTAAGAGAATGTGGCTTTTAGTTCATGTATCTTTCCCTTGAGGCTCAGAACTTACTTAAAAATGAGACAAGCTAGCAGCATTATTTCCTCCATTGACAGTTGTTTTATGGGGTTAACTTTGGCTGCTAGAATTGCTAGGCTTTCTTAGATCCTAAATTTATGATCAAGATCCAGTATGAGGGATCTGCTCTAACAAGCAGGGTTGGTTTACATGCAAAGAGGGTATGTAAAGATAAAAAAGTCTGCCACTTCCCCTGTCAGAGGTATACCTCCTCATATCTCTATTTCATAGGTCAACACTTCCTAGTCCTCTTTTGAGAGCAAAAGAGGAACAAAATGGATAAATAACAGAAAAGAAAGGCCACAAAAACTGTTGGAAATGTTTTATGATATTTTTTATATGAAAACAAAATACCAAATACATGAATTATAACAATGTAACCTAGGGACACCTGGCTGGCTTAGTCAGCAAAACATGTGACTCTTGATCTCAGGGTCCTGAGTTTAAGTCCCACACTGGGCCATGGAGCCTACTTAAAAAAAAAACAAACACAAGGGGCGCCTGGGTGGCTTAGTCGGTTAAGTGTCCGACTTTCGCTTAAGTCATGATCTCATGGTTAGTGGGTTCGAGCCCCGCGTCAGGCTCTGTGCTGATTGCCAGCTCAGAGCCTGGAGCCTGTTTCAGAGTCTGTGACTCCCTCTCTCTCTGACCCTCCCCTGCTCTCGCTCTCTCTCTCTGTCCTAGAAATAAATAAAACATTAAAAAAATAAAAAAACCCCACAAACAAACACAAAAAAACAATTATGTAATCTAAACATGATTGTGGAAACTGAGAAACAATGTGCAAATATAAAATCAGTGTAATGGGGTAGTGGGATTATGAATGGTTTTAAATTCAAAAATTATTTTATGATCATATATTCTTTTTCAATAAAAAATTATTAGATCTTGAAATGTTCTCAGTTAAAAGGCATATTAAAAAGGTTCTACTATTACTACTATTAATATCAACAGATAACATGTATTTACTGCTAACATGTGACAGGCACTGTTCTATGTGCTTTACACACATTGCAAGGTATATTTAATCCTCATATAAGCCCTATGAGGCAGCTACTCTTATTAACCTTATTTTGTAAATGAAAAATTGTGGAATAGAATGTTTAAATAACTTGTTGAAGTCGCACAGTTCTTCAGCAAAATGTAAAAATCCAATTGGATGGTTAAATAAATAGTGATTAATTTATGTAGTAAAATGCCTCACAGCTACTAAAAAGGAATATGTACCAATATGGAAAAAATTATTAGATAATTAGTGAAATGAAAAAATAAAAATGCAGACAGAATATAGTTACATTTTTGTGAAAGTATTAATAATGTTACATATATGCCTATGTTCACATATGTGTAAGGAGAATGATTCAGCAGAATGTACCCACACTGCTGATGGTGGTTATCTCTGGAAAGCAGAATTTTGGGTCCTTCTGAACCATCTATATTATACTCCTGCAATGTTTAAATTTGTACAACTTATAACTTAAAAAACATTAAAATGACCAGATAAAAGCTATTACAAAGAGAGCTAGGCTGGATCTTTCAGCTAAATTTTAAAACAAAGAAAAAAGAAACAAGTTAGACCATGCAAGCACAGCTGAAAGGAAGTACCACTCATGTGGTTGCAAGAAAATATATAATTGGCTATACAGTCTGAACATTAAAAAAAAAGTTAACTGATATGAATGTGATTTAAAGTTAATCTCTTCCTTTTAGATTTTGTTAAAACCGTTCTAAAATGTGGCACCTGGGTGGCTCAGTCGGTTAAGCCACCGATTTCAGCTCAAGTCAAGATCTCATGGGTCATGAGTTCGAGCCCCATGTCCAGCTCTGTGCTGACTGACAGCTCAGAGCCCACAGCCTGCTTCAGAGTCTGTGTCTCCCTCTCTCTGCCTCTTCCCCATTCCCATGCTGTCTCTCTCACTCTCAAAAATGAATAAACAGAGACAGAGCATGAGCGCTGGAGGGCCAGATAGAGGGAAACACAGAATCTAAAACAAACTCTAGGCTCTGAGCTGTCAACACAGAGCCCAAGGTGGAGCTTGAACTCATGAACCCCGAGATCATGACCTGAGCCAAGTCAGATGCTTAACTGACTGAGCCACCCAGGAGCCTCTAAACAATTTTTTTAATAAAATAAAAAAGTTTTATAATGTATAATATATACATTATATAATTATATATTTATATTTATATATATAATTATATAATGTATAATATTTCATTTCTTTTTTTTTAATGTTTATTCAGTTTTGAGAGAGAGAGAGAGCACAATCTGGGAGGGGCAGAGAGAGAGGAGGACAGAGGATCTGAAGCAAGTTCCATGCTGACAGCAGAGCTAAATGGGGGTTTGAACTCATGAATCATGATATTATGACCTGAACCAAAGTTGGACACTTGACCAACTGAGCCACCCAGACACCCCTACTTTCTTAATCTCTAAGTTCATTGTTATCTTGACGATTCTGGACCTTGCAGTCTGTGAGTCATCTTTACAATTAGTTTTCAGTGTGCAGGACTGCACTCTTTGAGGCAGAACTTAGACTAATTGAAGGACATATTCTCATAGTTACTTTTTTAAACAAATCTGCAATATCAACATTTCCCTGTAACCTGTCTCCTCCAAAAGTGGAGTATAGCCACTTTTTATTTAATTGATGATCATGGTTATCAGAATTAAAAAATGTAAATAGACTTAAGAAATGTTTAATTAATTTATGATATTCATGGGCTACAAAGGGAAGCTCTGAGTGTTTAAGATATGAACCTGACTATTTGAGTTGATGTCAGAGACAGTGACCATCACCTGTTCGAAATCATTTTTCCCCCCATCATTCACTTATTTTTTCAAGAAACATTTATTGAGGATCTTCTATGTGCCAGGCAGAATGATATATGCTGGTGATGGTTAGACATTAGACACAGTCTTATCCTCAAGTACCTTACAGTCTACTTGGGACCCGGCCATTAAAAACAAATCTCAGAAATATTAAACCACCTACATGCAAACATTTTCAAAACTATTAACAAGATTAGCTAATTTTTACTCAACATTTATTATATACTAAGTAATTAATACACATGATCTCATTTAATCCCCACAACTACTGCATAGGGAAGGGATTAATAACTAGGGCTTAGACACTAAGTACCTTGCCCAAAGTTACATAGCTAGTAAGTGAGAGAACCGTAATTAAGACTCAGGCAACCTGATTTCAGAGCACTCATCCTTTTGAGAATGAGAGAAGTTGCTTTTGCTAATCTCTCCATAAGGACACCAAGATAAGGCAAACATCAATGGAATAAAAAGAATTAATTATGAGGAAAGTACAGGCAAACTGGGAAGATTTCAAACTACGAACCATACATACACTTAGCCCACGAAGAGGAATTACAAGCAATTTATGGAATGATGTATTATTTATAAGCAAATAGGAAGTTACTGGAAGAATCAACGGCAGTGACACAAGGCAGAAAAATTCTTGCCTGAATGTCAAATCTCTTCTATACAGCTCTACTCACTAACTATTCTAAATAAAGGCACTATGTAGAGAGTACTCTGAGCTCTGTGCCACTAGAGATATAGTAAATTCTTTCTGGATACATTCACTTAAGAGAGAAAAGGACATAGTCCATGACTGCATCCATGGCCAAAGAGACGGAAAAATAGCTTCTTTCTCAGATTCAGTTTGAGAACCTACTAGTGGGACTCTGGTGGCCTAAGGAACTATGATGGCCTGACTATACTCCAACCACACACACAAAATCATGCAGCCAGTAAAAAATAAGACAAATCTATATATACTAACATATATAGCTGTCCAACACACAAAGAAGGTTATAGAATATTACATATGTCATGATCCCATTAAAATAGTAAATGCGCACTTAATATATATTTTATATATATAGGTCTATATATACACCTAGAAACACCTGTCTGAACTATAGTGAAATCTGTTAGCTTCTTTTCATTGAAGAACAAAAAGACCATGGAAAATAATCTTCTTGACTACTCATTAAAATTCTTTTTACCTTTTCCTTTAATTCTTACCATCGCTGCTAGACTCTTCAACAGGGGATACTGAGTCCAGACACTCTAGGACTCCCTTTGTGATCTCAACCACCTGAAGTCTCCTGACCCGTACAAGGTCTGTATCTTTCAATCCTTCCTCCAGTTGTTTGACCACTTCTTTTCCAGGCTGGGAAGTCAGAACAGTAATCTGGAAATAAATCCAAGAATCAACGTGTCTATTTTCCCTGCTGTACAGAATGAAGAACATAACAGATTACATCTGAAGGATAAACACAGCAGAAGACTTTGGTGGTGGCTTTTGTCTTTAAGGCAAAGAAGAGGGTTTCATGGTAACTTAAGAATCAAATTTCATTTGACAGATTGTGGTGGGAGAGGTCTGGTGGGACAAATTCTCACAGGGCCCTTCCAAACAGGCGGGGCCTACCGCAGAAAGTGACCAGTGAGAAGTCGTCCCTGCTTTAGTTTTTTAAGATTGCTTGAAGCACTGGCAGTGTCTCTCATGCTCAAAATGAATTAATGTTCAAAGGCGACAAAGGAAAGAAAATCTTTGAATTCCACTCACTAAGCGTGTATTAAATACAAGAGAGTCTCAATGCTTCTTTCTCATGGTGGTGCTTCCACATGGACTTCTCTTCTTGTTCAACCTGGATTCAGGTGAACTGTTTTTCTTGCTCTCAACTCTAAAATGTACTCACTTTTGATCAGTATATCTAACCTAAAAGAATATTGAGGTGTTTGTATATAATGTGAATATTTTATTCCACCTGAATGAACATACTATATATTTTCATTAGCAGTTTTGTCTTGAATTTGAAAATCTGGAAAGCAAATATTAAATATATGCAATTCTCTTTTGTACTTGGGCTTTTTTTGGTGTGTAGACATTTTTGATTAATGAAGAAGGAGGCAGATAAAAGAAGTTATTTTTTAAACTCATCTGTTTGATGCTTGAGGTTTCTGGAGACTGAATGTGTTTTTAACTCACAGTCACTCACACACCCAGTGGAGTATCGAGGCATGGCTTACTTATATATTTTTAAGATTGTCTTAGTTTGTACCATAATTTTAGCAGTCTTTAAATTTGCACATTTGTTAACTCTAAGAAAATTTACTCAATTAGATGCCAAGATTTGATTAAGAACAATTGTAAATCCCCCCCTCCCCTTTTTAAAGTAGGCTTCCCACCCAGCACAGAGCCCAATGCAGGGCTTGAACTCATGACCTCAGATCAAGACCTGAGCTGAGAGGAAGAGATGGATGCTTAACCCACTGAGCCACCCAAGTATCCTATCAATTGTAAATTTTTAAGGATGCCCAGTAGATATAGATACTGATATAGCCAGTTTAGCAATTGCTTCATAAGTTCCAACAATCCAGAGGCAGATGGCATATTCAGATTTTACTTTGATTTCAGTTTTCATTATAATTCATGTCAGCCCATATTTTTAGCATCCCTCTCTATGCCTAATTCTGTATTAAGAATTGTACAGGCTATATAGGAAAAATGGAATCATTTCTCTGCCTGCAGGGAGATGAAAATCTAGCCTTGAAAATTACCTTCAAAGTGTACGAAACAGGGAAAAATAATGAGGATGATAAATAATGAAGCATCTAGATGGACTGAAATGGGCATAAAGTCTTAAGGCCAGTATCTCTTACCTCCAGGGAAGTGTAGCTCAGAGCTGCACCTGTGGTCACATGTCTGGTGTACTGTTTGAACTGCTGGAGCCCATCCTCTACTGCCAGCTGCAGAGAAGTGCTGTGTGCTTTGAAACAGCCTTCTTGCTGCAACGTGCGGAGTTCTGAGATGCAAGTTTGCAGCCTAGCAAAGTTCCCTTTCACTTGCTGCAGAGAAAAATGAACCAAAGATGAACATCTTTAGTGACCTAGGTTCCAGATTAATTGGCAGTCTAACTTAATTATCAATTACTCCTCAGGGGTCCCTTCCCTTCCTGAAAACCTGCTTATTTGACCAATATCTACTCCATGCCTACTATGCTCTAGGCACTGCACTAAAGTCTTCCATACATCAGAGGAAAGAAAATTTGTAGCCAAAGGGCTTTGATTATGTGGAGTTATCAGAAATAGGAAAGGAAGTGTTGGAACTCATTCACTCGCCCAAAGGAAAGTTTAGTTGTGACTGGTGAGTTTTACTTTGGGGTGGTCTACAAACTGGAGGCCTAGCAGGGTCACTCTTAAACATTATTTTCATTTCTTAGTCAGTTTAGGCACTGGGAGCCTCTCTACTTCCCAGAAATGAGGATTCTGATGTGGTTGATCATTTCAGAACTGATAAGGTCCTATCCAGTCTGCTCCTCAGGATCACTTCAGTAAAGAAGAGATGCTTGGCTCAGCCTGCAATCAGCTCAAGGAGCCAACAGGTAAACCTCTTGGTTCTCCTCACCCTCCTTTTATAAAAAGTTGCTATCGGGAAGAAACTTAATATAATGTGATTCTAGATCAATGTTACCTCTCCTAAGGATGTATATACATTGTGAATAATTGTGGGATGAAAATTTGTGACACTATTTAAATTCCAAGCATCAATAGCAGGTGGGTGCTGGGTGGAGAAAAATTATTATTATTATATTATTATTTTTAATCCTTACATTTTTAATTATTATTTTTAAATAGTTTATTGTCAAGTTGGTTTTCATATAACACCCAGTGCTCATCCTCACAAGTGTCCTCCTCCATGCCCATCACCCCCCTTCCCCTCCCCCCTAAACTCATTAGTCCTCAGTTTGTTCTCAGCATTCAAGAGTCTCTCATGGTTTGCCTCCCTCCCTCTCCCCCCCTGTTTTCCCCCTTCTTCTCCCCCATGGTCCTCCATTAAGTTCCTCCTAATCCTCCTATACGTGCAAACATATGGTAGCTGTCCTTCTCTGCCTGACTTATTTTGCTCAGCATAACACCCTCAAGTTCCATCCATGTTGTTACACATGGCCAGATTTAATTCTTAGGTGGAGAAAAATTATATTTGGCATGACGAAACCTTCCTGAAAAAGAGCAGAACTGGGCAATATTTGCAAAATGCACATAAAATTTATAAGCATGAGCTGCAATACTGCAATACTTAAGCAAAGACTGCTTAAGTCAACTCCTCCTTCACTCAATTCCACAGCTGCTTACTTTGCTATATGTTCCTCTCCCTGAGTTTCTGGGAAAAACACAAGAAATAGGATGTAATGCTTATACAAAAAGAGCTTGCAATTTAAATAGGAAGATAAAAAACCTAGTCAAGAAAGCAAAGAGAACAAATGAGACCATAGGTATAGACTAGGGGCCTTCAAGAATTTCTTTTCATGTACCCCCTAAAAGAATCTGATGAATGATACCCTCATTCATTCATTCATTCATTTCAAGTTTTTACTTAAATTTTAGTTAACATGTAGTGTAATATTAGTTTCAGAGTCGAATTTAGTGATTCATCACTTAATATAACACCCATGCTCATCACAAGTGCCCTCCTTTATCCCCATCACCTGTTTAACTCTCCCAACCCCCCTCCCACCATCCCTCCAGCAACCCTCAGTTTGTTCTTTATGGTTAAAAGTCTCTTTTATGGCTTGCCTCTCTCTTTTTCCCCCACTATGTTTACCTGTTTTGTTTCTTATTTTCCACATATAAGTGAAATCATGGTATTTATCTTTTTCTGACTTAATTTCACTTAGCATAATAATCTCTAGCTCCATCCACACTGTTGCAAATAGCAAGATGTCATTCTTTTTGATGGCTGAGTAATATTCCATTATATATAATATATATACCACATCTTCTCTATCCATTCATCAGTCAATGGACATTTGGGTTCTTTCCATAGTTTGGCTATTGTTGATACTGCTGCTATAAACATAGGGGTGCATGCATCCCTTTAAATCTGCATTTTTGAGTAAATACTTGGTAGAGCTATTGATGGATTGTAGTTCTATTTTTAACTTTTTGAGGAACCTCCATACTGTTTTCCAGATTGGATGCACCAGTTTGCATTACCACCAACAGTGTAAGTGGGTTTCCCTTTCTGGGCATCCTCGCCAACACCTATTGTTTCCTGTGTTATTATTTTAGCTATTCTGACTGGTGCAAGGTGATATATCATTGTAGTTTTGATTTGTATTTCCATGATGAGTGATGTTGAAAATTTTTTCATGTTATGTAAGCCACCTGTATGTCTTCTTTGGAAAAGTGCTTATTCATGTCTTTTGCCCAATGCTTAACTTCTGCCCATTGTTTTTTGGGTGTTGAGTTTGTTAATAAGTTCATTATAGATTTTGGATACTAATCCTTTACCAGATATGCAATTTGCAAATATCTTCTCCCACTCCAAAGGCTACCTTTTAGTTTTGCTGATTGTTTCCTTTACTGTGCAGAAGGTTTTTATTTTGATGAAGTCCCAGTAGTTTATTTTTCCTTTTGCTTCCCTTGTTTCAGGAGACATATCGAGTAAGAAATTGTTACAGCCAATGTCAAAAAGGTTACTGCCTGTGTTCTCCTCCAGGATTTTGATGGTTCCTTGACTCACATTTAGGTGTTTCATCCATTTTGAATTTATTTTTGTGTATGGTATAAGAGAGTGGTCCAGTTTCATTCTTTTGCATGTTGCTATCCAGTTTTCCCAACACTATTTGTTGAAGAGACTATCTTTTTTCCATTGCATAGTCTTTCCAACTTTGTTGAAGATTAATTGTCCATACAGTTGTGGGTTCATTTATGAGTTTTCTATTCTATTTCATTGATCCATGTGTTTGTTTTTGAGCCAGTACCATACTGTCTTGATCACTACAAGTTTATAATATAACTTGAAGTCTGAAATTGTGATACCTCCAGCTTTTCTTTTCTTTTTAAGATTGCTTTGGCTATTTGGGGTGTTTTGTGGTTCCATAGAATTTTAACACTGCTTGTTTTAGCTCTGTGAAAAATACTAGTGGTATTTTGTTAGGGACTGCATTAAATATGTAGATTGCTTTGGGTAATATAGGCATTTTAATAATATTTGTTCTTCCAATCCATGAGTATATAATGTCTTTCCATTGTTTTCTTTCATCTTTAATTTATTTCATCAGCGGGTTATAGTTTTCAGAGCACAGATCGTTTTATCTCTTTGGTTAGAGTTGTTCCTAGGTATCTTATGGTTTTTGGTGTAATTAGGATTGATTGCACTTGATTTCAATCAAATGGGATTGATTCCTTGATTTCTCTTTCTGCTGCTTCATTATGTGTATTGAAATGCAACAGATTTTGGTATGTTGAAATTGATATGTGCGATTTTGATACGTTGTATCCTGCAACTTTATTAAATTTGTGTATCAGTTCTGGCAGTATTTTGGTAAGTATTTTGGGTTTTCTATATAGAGTATCATGTCATCTGTAAATAGTGCAAGTTTGATTTCTTCCTTGCCAATTTTTAAGCTTTTTATTTAGTTGTCAAAATGCTGAAGTCAGGACTTCCAGAACTATGTTAAAGAACAGTGGTGAGAGTGGACATCCCTGTCTTGCTTCTGACCATAAAAGAAAAGATCTCAGCTTTTCCCCACTGAGATTATTAGCTGTGGGTTTTTCATATATGGCCTTTATTTTTTGAGATGTGTTCCCTCTAGCCCTACTTTGTTGTGGGTTTTTACCATGAATGGATGTTGTACTTTGTCAAATGATTTTTCTGAATCTATTGAAAGGATTATATGATTTTTATCCCTTCTTTTATTAATGTGGTGTATCTTGTTGATTGATTTGCAAATATTGAACCATGCTTCCAGCCCAAGAATAAATCCCACGTGGTCATGGTGAATGATTCTTTTAACCTACTGTTGGATTGAATTTGCTAGTTTTTTATTGAGAATTTTTGCATCCATGTTCATCAGAGATATTGGCCTGAAGTTCTCTTAAAAAAATTTTTTTTTGGAGGGGGCACCTAGGTGGCTCAGTTGGTTAAGCATCTGACTTCAGCTCAGGTCATAATCTTGTGGTTCCTGAGAGTTCAAGCCCTGTGTTGGGCTCTGTGCTGACATCTTGGAGCTTGGAGTCTGCTTCAGATTCTATATCTCTCTCTCTCTGCCCCTCCCCTCCTCATGCTGTCTCTCAAAAATAAATAAACACTTAAGAAATCAAAAAATTTTTTAAATGTTTATTATTTTTGAGAGACAGAGAGAGTGCATGCAAGTGGATGAGGGGCAGAGAGAGAGGAAGAGAGATAACCCCTAAGCAGGCTCCTTGCTGTCAGCATAGAGCCCAGTGTGCAGCTCAGACTCAGGAACCATGGGATCATGACCTGAGGCAAAATCAAGAGTCAGATGCTTAACTGACCGAGCCACCCAGGCACCCCAAATTTTTTAACGTTTATTTATTTATTTTTGAGAGATAGAGAGCAGGGGAGGGGAAGAGAGAGAGGGAGAGAAAGAATCCCAAGCAGGCTCTGTGGCCATGAGCACAGAGCCTGAGGCAGTGCTCAAACCCACAAACCACAAGATTATGTACGACCTAAACTGAAACCAAGAGTCAGGTGCTTAACTGACTGAGTCACCCAGGCACTCTTGCATTTTTATTTTGAAAACTGAAACAAAAAGCTTGTTTCCTATAATTTTTTTTTTTTTTTTTTTTTTTTAGTAGGATGACCTTCTGATACTTCTGCAAGGAGGATACAATAACCTTTAGGGAAAGGATTACAAATTGGAGATGATCTTCCAACAAGATTTGAAAATATTGCCTATTTTGTATTGGAAAATTCTGCCAAATGCAATGGTTTTGGAAATATTGGAAATTAAGCTGTTCTTTTTTACATTCACCAAATAATAGGGGCACTTACTGCTTGAGAACTATCCTGGTTGATAACTTGGTATAGCAGGAGGCCA